TTAATATTGTGGGGTAAGATTACGGGAGCTGTCCCTGAGGTTTGACGTAACGGAGAAGAGATCAAAACTGTCTTTCAAAATCTACGGATGCCATCCCCCTGAAACTTTTTTTACAAATACATATAAGTTTTTGTGGCTGTGAAGGTGTGTATGCTTAGTTATTGGTTTTGAGTTTTGCAGTTTCGGTTCTGAAAGTCTAAATTTTGTGCCGAATGGCTCGTTTTATATCTCGTTTATTCGTGAAATTCTCTTCAACCCAGAATATGCAAAAATTCGACTTGCGTGACCAAAGTTGCTACTTTGAGTAAATGAGCAATATTGCAAATTTGGCTTGGGAGTATTTTGTGATTTTTGAAAGATCAGTTAGAGTTTTTTGTAATCACGTCGAACCTCAGTGATAGTTTCTGTAAATTATCCCTTATAACCAATTTGACAATTTGTTAATGACTGTTCAAAGGAATCTTGACTCGTTATGACAATGCGAAGCAATGCCTTTTTTTGGCAAGTCATGGCTTGCATAAGACTTTACACAGGCTGTGGAAAAATCCCCCTCAATCTCAATGTATGTCCCGATTAGTTGACAAGAGTCAAGATTGAATGGCAAAAGTTATCCTCTGGACATTTGGATCGGTTGTGTTTTGACAATGGAGCCAGGAGGATGATGATGTTCGTTTTTACGACCTGATAAGAGGAATTTTTTGTCCGGGAAGTTATAAATCTAACCTATAAAGATCTTTCAGTTTTAAGCAGAGTGTTTTGACAAGTTGGTATTATTATGTGTTTGTGTAGGTAAAATGGCAGCTGCTAAGGCAGTTGATTTGGGAATCAAGAGGGAGAACAATAATCTTCAATTTGCACAGCTATATGGAATGGCGGAAGCACTTTCGTTTGGTCTGAAAAACGCAGGTTTTAAGGTTAGCAAATATTTGCCGTTTGGGCCAGTAGAGCAGGTCATACCGTATCTTCTTCGGCGAGCTGAAGAGAACAAAGGTCTCTTGTCTACTTCATCCCTCGACAGGCAACTCATGAGGTAAACAAAAAAAAACTGCTCATGCTCTCTAATTTTGATATGGCTTCAAAACTACCTCTTAAAAGTATCCATCTTTCAAAATTTGAGCTTTTGCATAATATTTTAATCTTGAGTGTACTTTGTAAACAGAAACAAATTTCAAGGGAAATTCATAGATTTAAAGAAGGTCAAGAATTTTATATTAACCCTTGTACTATATTGCAATAGTTTTGACTTCTCATGCTTTATCTATGTGCAGGAAGGAGATCTTAAGGAGATTAAAATCATAAATCAAATAAGGGATCTTGGAGGAGAAAAAAGTATTCAGCTTCAGTCAATGCAAATACTCTTTAAGAGTTGGAAAATGCTAGAAATTGTATGTGGGTCTAAAAGACAATGAGATTTTGTTGTCTGAAGAAGTCCCATTATTAGTTAAGCCATATTGATTAGGTAATTGTTGAGATTCTTTCAGCCCATCAGGGGATTATGTTTTGAAGTATTGTTAAGTTGATGTAAATTGTCTTGTGTCAATTTTGCAGGTGTGTTTTTGGCTTCTTCGAATGAGTTTAGCAATTTTAATTGGAAAATACAGCTATTTCTTTTCTACTGTCTTAAAGCAAGCATACAACTATATTTTATTCCTCTTTTTTTTTAACGAAATGATATATTTTATTCAACAAATACTTATTCCGATAGAAATGGCACACTGATATGAAACCAAGGACTAATAATCACAAGTTCTATAGAACAGAGTTTGAGTCACAACCAATTTTTGAATTTAAATAAAAAAATAAAATAAAATAAAAAGAGTCGCGAATGATATTGTTCTACAAGAAATGCAATTGCCCTTCACTTATGGATTTACAATGTTTCGCATAAGCATCTGATTTTGGTTTTCTCAAATGTACTTTTAGCAAATGCCCTTCCAATGTGTAATGGAATTAGTTATGTTGCCCGCATGAAAGGGGAAAAAGCAAGAAAATTCATTGTGAATGGGTATTTAGGATCGAACTTATCGAAAAAAACATAATAACAACTATTATCCCGTTAATTCTAACCATATCTACAAACTTCTTATAAAAAAATACGACTTATACTATGAACAGAATTTTTTGTATTGAAAGAGTAGCTGATGTGGGCCGTGTGAGAATACAAGTGTTTTGGACTATTGAGAATTGTTTGAAGGATGTCTATCAATAGAATTCGGAGGCATCACAATCGCTGTTGTAATGAGTTTGCAAGAAGCAGAACAATGATGTTGAATGAACTCGGCATCTAGCGCGATTGACTAATTCGTTCTTGGCCCAAATTCCATTGTGTGTAGCTCGTTTAGCCATTTTATTATTCTTAGTATATTTCAATTTTAATATTTTTATTTCTTTTCTAATTTCATTTACGGATTGACGTCTCCAATACATTATTTGAGAATAATTCAAAATTTTATATTGTTCTCAACACATCTTTCTTTCCAACACATTATTTGAGATGAATTCAAAATTTTATATTGTTTTCAACACGTAACACATCGTTGGAAGTACGTTTGTATTTTACATTTTACTGCTTCGAGTTAGTGATAGAAGACCAACCAAACCACAAATATATACTCTACTTACTAGGGACAAAATGGTAATGATTTAATGCGCACATGAATACACGATTTGTCTCTACCAAAAAATTGTACAAAATCGATGAAATTGGGAAACAATTCATTCAAGTGCGATGAATTTCACCCTATTCATATACTTATTTTTATGAGAATCTTAATTATCTGATCACCCTTTTCGTACACATTTTTTTTATCTTAATCATCCGATCTCACTCTACTCGTGGACACTAGGGCTGCTCATTCGGTCGAAACCGAACTGAACCGACCGAATTTACGGTTAACCGAAAATTCAGTTTGTCCATTATCATAACCGAAAACCGAACCGAAATTTACGGTTCCCTTCGGATTTTAACCGCCAATTCAGCGGTCGGTTCGGTTCGGTTTTCGGTTAATCGCAATAAATAATTAAACTTCTCAATAAATTCTGAAATTTTAGCCGAACAAAAAATTTGATGTTTTATCCGAACAAAAAAAAATTAATTTTTTATCACCTTGTTAATCTAATTAATAAATTCTAAATTCTCCTCAAAGGAAGATCTCGGACCCGAACCGTAACTTGGACTATGACGAAGCCAATCGTGATTGCAAATTAATGCTTGAGCCAATTTAAGGGTCATTGAAATTTGAAAATCATCAATCATTGAAGTAAATTAATGCTTTTATAACTTATATGTATAAATAAAAAACATGTATATGTATGTGTATAAATCGATTTTCGTTTCGGTTCAGTTAACTAATCACAATTATCCAAACCGAACCGAAAATTGAAATTTTAAGAAAATGTAAATCAAAAACCGAACCAAATATTCACTTTCGGTTTCGATCAAAGCGAATTTTCGGTTTTCATCGGTTCGGCTCGGTTAACCGAACTTTGTGCACTCGGTATGTTATAGATGGGCCTTTGGTCCAATTAGGCCCAATGAATCATGCCCAGGTGAGCACTCATTTAATATTTAACCAACAGTACTGTATTAGTGGATGATTCTGAGTAGGCATCTAATCATCTTAAACTGAATCTCGGTCTTCATCCAACAATGGTGGGGAGCTCAAAATTTCCCGCCGAAAGACGCGGTCGTCCCTACAAACCCCTGAAAATGCATTTCTCTTTAACTGAAAAAAATTAAGCTCAAAACAGCTGCTCTATAAATACACGCACATCCTTCAAGGACCCACAAACAGCACACTGTACTACCACCAAAAGTTAGTCAATCTCGGCGTTTCAATCCGGTAATGGCCGGCCGCACCATCCACCGCCCAAAACACCTCCTGCGCAGCCTCCCCCTCCTCTCCCGCCGCCCCAATTCCACCGCCTCGCCCTTTTTCACCCCCGCCGGCCACCAGTTGAACCTCGCCGAGACGACCCCCGATCCGAAGCCCACCAAGCCGGCTCCGGCCGCCGGGACACCCGTCAACCTCGACGACGCCAAGGAGCTGTTCTCGTCCGTCTCTACCGGGAAGCTGATCAAGTCGATCGTGACCCTCCAAGCGGCGTCGATGAAGGGCGTGGTCGAGCTGGGGTCGACGGTCGTGAATTCGCGGCTGATGAAGAGCCCGATCTCGAGGAAGATGCTGCTGGAGTCAATCGAGCACACGTTCTACGATCATTTCTGCGGGGGGAAGGATTTGGGGGAGGCGGATCGGATCGTGAAGAGGCTCTGGGATTCGGGGCTCATGGCTATGCTGGATTACGGGCTGGAGCACGCGACTGATAACGGGGCGTGCGATCGAAATTTGGATGAGTTTGTTCAGACGATTGAGTCGGCTAAGCATTTGGGAGCTTCCCCTGTAAGTTGTTCCTCGTTTTTCTCGGTTTTTGTCTTGTTCTCCTTTTTTTTTTTTAGAACATGATGGCACTGTTGGTGAAGCCTGATGCATGCATATGAGGTGTTTGTGTTTTTGTGTTTGATAGAAGTAGAACAATTTAAAGTTAGCTGTTGAACCATTTGAAACAAGGTAGTGTTTGAGATTTCAGAACACCAATTGATCAGTGTATTTCCTCAATCATGTTATACACAGTTTAGCTGAAGTTACCAATAAGAAAAGTAAGGAAAGGAAAACAGTCAAACACTGATCAGTATTCTTTCAGATTATTGATAATCCCAGATCAATACTATTGAGCTTTGTGTTTGTATTATAGAAACAAACTTGGTATTCTTAAACTGATAACATCAAATGTCAGTGATCTTCCTTGCTAATTGAAGACAAATAATTGTAGAAAGAACAACTGTTGAGCAATCAGTGTCAGTATAAAATGAAAAAATTCGGGTTTTACAGGTCAGTTTTGTAGTAATCAAGATTACCGCCATCTGTCCTCCGCGTTTGCTCAACAGAATAAGCGATTTCCTGAGATGGGCCCACAAGGACAAGTCCCTGCAACTCCCATGGAAGCTCGAAACCTTACCCATATTTGCCGAATCCAGCCCTCTTTACCACACCCTGAAAAAACCCGACCCGTTAACCCTGGATGAAGAGCATGACCTCGAGCTGGCCTATGGCCGGCTAATGAAAATCTGCAAACACAGTTGGGAGGGAAAAGTGCCGGTCGTGATCGATGCCGAGGACACCTCGATCCAGCCAGCAATCGATTACTTTACTTACTCGGCTGCCATTAAATACCGTTCGGATGAAAACCCGCTGATTTTCAATACGATCCAGGCTTACTTGAGGGATGCTCGAGACAGAATGGTGATGGCAAAACGGGCTGCGGACTCAATGGGAGTGCCTGTAGGGTTCAAGCTGGTCCGTGGGGCCTACATGACGAGCGAGAGGCGATTGGCTTCCATGCTTGGAGTGAGGTCACCCATACACGACACGATCGAGGATACTCACGCGTGTTTCGATGAATGTGCGGCTTTTATGCTGGAGGAGATTGCTCGGGGGTCGGGTTCGGTTGTGCTTGCCACTCATAATCTCGAATCTGGTAAGGAATCTTTTTGCATGGTTCTTGATTTTTTTTTTTTTGGGGTTATTTTTATTTGTTGATGGTGTGATAAATTGTTTTTTTTGGGATTTAATCGTGTGTGGTAAGATTACGGGAGCTGTCCCTGAGGTTTGACGTAATGGAGAAGGGATCATAACTGTCTTTCAAAATCTACGGATGCCCTTCCCTTGAATTTGTTCTTACAAATACGTATATAAGTTTGTGGTTTTTGGTGGCTGTGAGGGTGTGTATTCTTAGTTATCGGTTTTGAGTTCTGCAGTTTCGGTTTGTGAAAGTTAGAAGTTCGTGCCGAATGGCTCGTTTTATATTTCGTTTATTCCTTCGGTGCCTTCACTTTCAAAATCATGTTGCTCTTCAAACCGGAATATGCAAAAAATATGACTTGTGTGACCAAAGTTGCTACTTTGAGTAAATGAGCAATATTGCAAAATTGGCTGGGGGTATTTTGTGATTTTTGAAAGATCAGTTAGAGTTTTTTGTAATCACGTCGAACCTCAGCGATAGTTTCTGTAAATTATCCCTTATAACCAATTTGACATTTTGTTAATGACTGTTCAAAGGAATCTTGAATCGTTATGACAATGCGAAGCAATGTCTTTTTTCGGCAAGTCATGGCTTGCATAAGACTTTACACAGGCTGTGGAAAAATCCCCCCTCAATGTATGTCCCGATTAGTTGACAAGAATCAAGATTGAATGGCAAAAGTTATCCTCTGGACATTTGGATCGGTTTGTGTTTTGACAATGGAGCCAGAAGGATGATGATGTTCGTTTTACGACCTGATAAGAGGAATTTTTTGTCCGGGAAGTTATAAATCTAACCTATAAAGATCTTTCAGTTTTAAGCAGTGTTTTGACAAGTTGGTATTGTTATGGTTTTGTGTATAGGTAAAATGGCGGCTGCTAAGGCAGTTGATTTGGGAATCAAAAGGGAGAACAATAATCTTCAATTCGCTCAGCTATATGGAATGGCGGAAGCACTTTCGTTTGGTCTGAAAAACGCAGGTTTTAAGGTTAGCAAATATTTGCCGTTTGGGCCAGTTGAGCAGGTCATACCTTATCTTCTTCGGCGAGCTGAAGAGAACAAAGGTCTCTTGTCTACTTCATCTCTCGACAGGCAACTCATGAGGTAAACAAAAAAACTGTTCATGCTCTCTAATTTTGATATGGCTTCAAAACTACCTCTTAAAAGTATCCCTCCTTCAAATTTGAGCTTTTGCATAATATTCTAATCTCGAGTGTAATTTGTAGACAGAAACAAATTTCAAGGGAACTTCATAGGTTTTTAAAGAAGATCATGAATTTTATAATTAGACTAATGTCTAGGGGTATACTACTTTAATTAACCCTTGTACTTTCTATATGAGCAGGAAGGAGATCTTAAGGAGAATTAAATCATAAATCAAATAAGGAATCTTGGAGGAAAAGAAAGTATCCAGTTTCAGTCAATGCAAATACTCTTTAAGAGTTGGAAAATGCAGAAATTGTATGTGGGTCTAAAAGACAATGAGATTTTGTTGTCTCAAGAAGTCCCATTAGTTAAGCCATATTGATTAGGTAATTGTCAAGATTCTTTCAGCCCATCAGGGAATTTTGTTTGAGGCATTGTTAAGTTTGATGCAAATTGTCTGTTTCAATTTTGCAAGTGTGTTCTTTGGATTCTTTGAATGAGTTTAGCAATTTTAAATGGAAAATATAACTATTTCTCTTCTACTGTTATATAATTCCTCCCTCTCCTAAAGCAAGTACAACTCTATTTTATTCAACAAATAGTAAATACTTCTTCTGATAGAAATGATACACTGATATGAAACCAAGGACTTATCTGTAAACTGTAACTAATCACAAGTTCTATCGAACACTGTCTGAGTCACAGCCAATTTTTTAATTTAAACAAATAAAAATAAAAAAAAGAGTCGCGAATGATATTGGTCTGCTCAAACTCTATTATATGCTATGTTCTTGATTGATACAAGAAATGCAATTGCTCCTAAATTATGGATTTACAATGTTTCTGTTGACATATTGGTTAGCTTAGTTGGGTTAACATATATTAGTAGGTTAATTAGGTGAGTTGGCATAGTTTACTTTTCTTTATGTTTCTTCTTTGTGCTCAGTATATAAGCACATTTCTCTCTCTTGTAATTCAGACGATTAAGATCATTTTTCTATAATCAGAAAAAGAGTTTTTCTCCACATTTGTTCTTTGTCTTCCCTGCACTTTTTACATGGTATCAGATGTTCTATACACTCCATCCTTCAAATTCAACCTACTCTCTATTTCACAGCTTGCTCATGACTCAAATATTCAGTGTATTTTTACCCCTACTAAATGCTTGTTGCAGGACCTTAAGGATTGCAAAGTGGTTGCAGAGGGAAGGATGATAGGCAAACTCTATGTCTTGATACCTAATTCTTTTCCTTCAATTTATGCTAATAACTCTTGTTCAGTTGTTAGTTCTAAAGCAAGTGAACTTAAAAATTGGCACATTATGAGTGGCCATGCTTCTGTTAGTTCCATGAAACATCTAGATTTCTTGAGACCTTATTTTTCTGACCATAATGAAGATATCTTGAAATCTTGTGAGACCTGTGCTAGAGCAAAACAACATAGGGATCCTTTTCCTATTTCTGCCATGAAAAGTGATTCAATATTTGATTTGTTGCATATTGATCTTTGGGGTCCATGTAATGATGAAAATATGAAAGAGATTAAGTATGTCTTAACTATTGTAGATGATTGTAGCAGGGCTACTTGGCTATACCTGTTGATGCACAAAACACAAGTACCTCATACCCTTCTTTGTTTTGTAAACCTCATACAGAATCAATACCAGAAAATCATTAAAGCTTTCAGAAGTGATAATGGAACAGAGTTTGTGAGTAAAGAATGCCAACAACTTTTTCACTCTTTAGAAATTGTGCACCAGAGAACCTGTGCGTATACCCCCCAACAAAATGGAACTGTTGAAAGAAAACACAAACATCTCCTTGAAATAGCTAGATCACGCATGTTTCATTCCAAAGTCCCTATGTTCTTGTGGCCTGAAGCCTTGTTGACAGTTACCTACATATTGAACAGACTCCCAAATTCTACCATACTTTGGAAAGCACCTTATGAGATTTTACATGAAAAACCACCAAATTATGCCTTCTTGAAACCTTTTGGTTGTCTAGTCTTCACAGCCAATACAAATCCTCACAAAACAAAGTTTACTACTAGATCACATAAATGCATTTTCCTTGGGTTTGAGCCGGGTCGGAAAGGTTTTAAGCTGTTTAACATTGACACTGGGACAATTATTGTTAGCAGGGATGTTAAGATTTCAGAAACCATTTTTCCTTTTCATGATCAACCCATTACCACACCCTTGTCTATTCTTTTGCCTAATATTTCAATTTTTGAAGATTTGCCTGATATTGCACCCATCTCAGATTCTTCACATCCATCAAATACACAAGTCTCTCCTACAAACTCATAACCTCATTTTACTAGACCCATCAGAATCAAATCTAAACCTTCTTGGTTGAAAGATTATGTTACTTTTTGCTACAACAATCATCTTCCTTCTGCAGACATGAAGCAATCTACAGAGGTGTCTACTTCAGGTACCAATTTTGCCCTGCCTTATACACATGACTGTTTTTTGGAACCTACATACCTTGCATTTTTGTCCAATGTGTCCCTTGCACAAGAACCATCTTCTTATTCACAGGCAAAAGATAATGTAGAATGGGTTGAGGCTCTGCAACAAGAGTTGGGTGCTCTTGAGAAAAATGATACTTGGGAAATGGTTGATTTTCCTGTTGAGAAGAAACCAATTGGAAATAAATGGGTTTAAAAAAATTAAAATAAAACCAGATGGGACATTTGATAGGTATAAGGCTAGATTGGTAGCCAAGGGTTACACTCAAGTCTACGGGATAGACTATATTGATTGTTTCTCACCAGTGGCTAAACAAGTCACAGTGAGGTTGTTTTTTGCTATAAGTTCAGCCAAGGGTTGGCCTCCATGTCAAATAGACATTAATAATGCTTTTTTGCATGAAGGATTGAAAGAGAAAATTTATATGGACTGCCCACAGGGTTATCTTCCTAAGAAACCTGGACAAGTTTGTAAGCTCAAAAGGAGTTTGTATGGGCTTAAACAGGCCTCTCGAGAGTGGAACCAGGAGTTTTGTGATAAGTTGTTGCATTTTGGTTTTGTTCAGTCTCAACATGATCATTGTCTGTTTACTAAGTCTACATGTGATACTTTTTTGGCTCTCTTGGTATATGTGGATGATGTCCTCATTATGGGACCAAGCATGCATTTAATTGAACAATTAAAGAGTTATCTGGATAAGGAATTTTTCATTAAGGATCTGGGATTTGCCAAGTTCTTCTTGGGTATTGAGATTGCCAGGGGTGCCAAAGGCACTTATCTTAGCCAGAGGAAGTATGTGATGGATTTGCTACATGACATGAAGCTTGATAAAGGCAGGACAATAACTACACCATTGCCTCATGGTCTAGTCTTGAAAGGAAAAGAAGGTTAACATTTAGCTTCTGGAGATACTTACAGACGGCTAGTGGGAAGATTGTTATATCTTAATCTTACAAGGCCTGATATAGCATACTCAGTTCAGCAGCTGAGTCAATTTGTTAATGATCCATATACTTCTCACTGGGATGCTGCCTTGCATGTTCTGAGATACTTAAAAGGGTCTCCTTCTCTTGGTTTGTTCTATCCTAGTGGCTGTGACTTTCATTTGACTGCATATTGTGATGCAGATTGAGGTGCATGCCTTGACTCTAGAAGATCTCTTACCGGTTTTTGTAGTTTCTTGGGACAATCACTCATTTTCTGGAAGTGTAAGAAACAAACCACAGTGGCCAAATCCTCAGCTGAATCAGAGTACAGGATTTGCATATTCCAATTCAATTGCCTATTCCACTTCTCTGTGATAATCAATCAGTTCTCCACATTGTTGAAAATCCGGTCTTCCATGAGAGCACCAAACACTTGGAGATTGATTGTCATTTGGTCAGGCATAAGTTCAAGTAAGGTCTAGTCACACCTCACTTTGTGCCCTCGTCCCAGCAGCTTGCAGATGGATTGACCAAGTCTCTTGGTGGCTAGCCCTTTCGGTCTATGGTTGTCAAGTTGAGCATGACAAATTTTCTTTGTCAGCCCACTTGAGGGGGGTGTGTTGACATATTGGTTAGCTTAGTTGGGTTAATACATATTAGTAGGTTAATTAGCTGACATAGTTTACTTTTCTTTATGTTTCTTTTTGTGCTCAGTATATAAGCACCTTTCTCTCTCTTGAAATTCAGACGATTAATATCATTTTTACTATAATCAGAAAAGGAATTTTTCTCCACATTTGTTCTTTGTTTTCCCTGTACTTTCTACAGTTTCGTATAAGCATCTAATTTTGGTTTTCTCAAGTGTACTTGAGAAAATGCCCTTCCAATGTGGAGTGGAATTAGTTATGTTGCCACACATGTCAGGAAAAAAAAACCAAGAAAATTCATTCTACCGTGAGCACTTGGTGAATGTGTGATTCGATGCATAAAAAACCAAGATTGAACTGAAGAGAAAAAACATAATAACATCCAAAAAGCCCACTTCTTGAAATGAACGGAATATTGTTGTCTCGTTAAATCTAACCACATCTACAAATGCTACTGTTAGGATGCATAGCTGTTAGAAAGTCGTACAATAGTATGCATAGCCATTAGAAAGTCGTACTTTCTTATAATAAATACGACTTATACTATAAAATTTTATATTTTTGCTTACATTGTAATTTAAAAGTATGAAATATAAATATGAAAGAATATTTATTTGTTGAATGAGTAACTGATGTGGACCGTGTGATAATACAAGTTTTGGACTGTTGAGAATGGTTTGAAGGATGTCCATCAGTAGAATTCGAAACGAACGTAACTTTGTGTTCGGACATTGGAATTGCTATTATAATATGTTTGCAAGAAGCAGAACATCGATTATGAATGAACCTAGGCGATGGGCTAATTGGTTCTTGACCCAAATTTCATTGTGTGTAGGCGATGGTCAAGCCATTTTATTATTTTTAGTATATTTCATTTTAATATTTTTGTTTATTTTCTATTTCATTTACGTTTTGACTGTCTTTATATAAGTCTTCAATATATTGATTTGATAATAGTTCAAAATTTCATTTTAGTTTCTACATATCTTTCTTCGTACATTTGTGTTGTACACATAGTTTTTAAACCCGGCCCGGGAATCGACCCGGGCAGGTCTCCGGGTCACCGGGTCACCGGTTCAACCGCCGGGTCACCAGGTCAATTGCTGAACCGGATAATTAATTTTAAATTTTTTTAAATTATATATAGAGTATTTTGTCTTATAAATATATATAAAAATAACAAAATTAAATATTTTGTATATAAAATTTGCACACTAAAGTACTAATAATATGTATTTCATGATAAATATTTACCATATAAATATATATAAATAGTTTTATTTTTTAAAAACAAAAAATATATTAAAAAATAAAAAAAAAAATAAAAAAATATATAAGACCGGGTCAACCGGGTTGACCCAGGCGGGTCAATGCCCCGGGTCGACCGGGTTAAGGCCGGTTTGACCGGCTTTGACCGGGTCCATTGTTTCCCGGTCCGAATAGCCCACCCGGACCGGTTCCAGCTCCGAGTCGACCGGGTCCCGGGTCAACCCGCCAGGCCGGTCCGGGTTAAAAAACACTGGTTGTACATCTTATTGATTGTGTTAGTGATAGGAGACCAACCAAACCACACCTATAACTCTACTTATCGAGACAAAATGTTAATGCTAACATGATGAGTGCCAAAAATTGCACAAAATCGATGAAATTGGAAAGAAATTCATTCGAACACGATGAATTTCACCATACTCGTAGATACTTTTTCTATAAGAATCGTAGACACTTCTTTTACGAGAATTTTAACCAGTCAAATCATTATGTATTTGAGAGCAACTCTAGCGCATCGCCAGATGTGGTGATTTGCGCTGGAATGGAGATAAAATCTCCTCCAACCCATCCCTGGATTTTCATGCTACATCAGATATGTGAATAGTGTTGCGCCAGAATTTTCATGCTACATCAGATATGTGAATAGTGTTGCGCCAATTCTGGCGCAACACTGTAGCATATCTCTACAATTTTTTATTTTTTTATTTTTTTGTAATTTAATGTAATTTTTGGTGAAGAAGATATAGCCTAGAAGAAGAAGAAATGGATTCTATTCAAGCGGGACATCATCCTCTATCTTCTGTGAGTTTAGCTGCGAGCTTGCCTAGAAGAAGAAATGGCAGCAGCTACAACTTTCTCTTCATTTGGTCAAAATAAGCTTCATTTTATGTCGCAACTTCGGCTGCCTCGTCGGCCCTCGTTTAGCGGATCGAGTATTAGCGAGAGTGCTTTCTAGAAAGCATGAGAAGAGGAGAAGTCGTTCGTGGTATTTATTTCGTATTTCGAGGCCCCGATCATTTATTTTGAGAAGTTAGAATTTGAGAGTGCATATTAGTAAAATAAATAAAAATCCGTTCACGTCGGCCCCGCAAGGTCGCGTGAGATTTCGGTTTGTCGATAAACGAGTTGGGGCGAGTAGATCTTATTGGCACGATGCCATTCGAGCCATTTATCGAGTATTCAGAGTTTCGAGCATTTATTTAGAGAAACCCGAAGTGTTCGGGTTAATAGTAGCAGTCCCGTGTTGTTATACATAACTTTTTTTATTACTATTTGGGTAATAAGCATTTATATAATATTACATATCCATATATATAGTAAATTATTTGAAATAAAAATAAATAAAATATATTTTTATTATTTGAGTAATTAACATTTTATATAAGATTAAATATACATATATACTAATTTATTTGAAATAAAAAATGAATAAAAATATAATATATTTAATATAGAGTAAAATGTAGAGATAGGGACTGAAGATGAATGCTCAACTCTACTCTATAATAGAATAAAGTCCGTGCTAGAGTAGAGATAAGGGCTGGAGATAGTCTGATGGTTGTGTATTTGATTGTGCAATATGCATTTGATTGTGTGAGCATATTAACACAAGTATACATTCTTAGATTTGCCAGACAAGTACATTAGAATTAGACAAATATCATTCGCGGTAATAATGATTTTTGGTTAGAAAGTAGAATAAGCAAGAAATCTATACTTATATTAAAAGGTTACAGTATTTATCAGATTTAGTATAAAGAAAAGTCAACAACATTTATTGCTTTACTATTTCCGTATTATACAATCTATACTTATATAAAAGGAGATTCTATTTACTACATTTACTATCCAGAAAAGTCAACTGCATTAAATGCCATTATTATTTTGGTATTATAATATTTTATTTATTTAATTAATTTATTTATTTGTTTTATTTTAAAAAAGTAAGTATAATAAAAAAATTTTAATAACAAAAAAATCAAATACCAAATAAAAATGTACAGTCATAGATATTCCGGGGAGCTCGGGGAACTCCTTGCTGTCATGTCCTTCTCAATCTCTCTTTCTTTTCACTCTTCTTTCTGTACACAATTATTCGTTGTGTTGAAGTTGAGGCAGAAAGTGCATCAGAATCTTTTGACTTATTTGATTATATTTGGTATTTGATTATACTAAATATATTCTTATTTAGTATATACATTAAATACTTACTAAAATATTTATTTGTTTTATATGTCAAAGTTAAGTATAGATTTGTTTATATTATCAAATCATAAAAAAATATTAAATTCATATTGTAAAAAAAAATCATATAATTTTATAACAATTCTACTACACTATTTAATAATATTTTTTTTATTATATAATAAAATAATAATTAAATATTATAGGGTGAACAACAATAAGTAAAACTGTTACTTTCTCTTATATCAAGGGATAAATTTATATGCTAAAATTATATTTTTATTAGAATAAATGTTTTAGTGAAATAATATATTAATTATTTTACAAGCTAGCCTTAACATGATCATATTTAATGTTTTAAAAGATGTAGAAAAAATACTTATAATAACTCTATTGTTTTTTAGACTTAAACGTTGATTAAAAGAGGTAAAAATTTTTAATTTTTTAGACTTAAACGTTGATTAACACCATAGATTGAGAGTTTATATTTAGTAAAATTCCTAATTGTAATAAAAAAATTATTTTTGCTATATTTTAGAATATTTTTAAATTCATTATAAAAAAAGAAAAAAAACCACAATAAAAAAAGCAAGTCAGCTATATATCGATTTGTTGTACTCCTCAAATTACATTCACAATTTGGCTACAAGGAAAGGAAACTCATTGATTAAAATATTATTTTGTCAGTAGTTTTAATGTATAAGAGACTTTAAGACTCCACTTGAATATTATAAAATTTTTATTGAACATTGTACAATTTTCTTGCTGGTATTATAAACTTTTATTGAATATTGTATCTTATAATATAATATTTTCTAAATAAATATATTTCGTGCTTCGTTTCTTTATTCATGTATATAATTATAAGTCTCGATAAATAAGCTTAAAATAAACTGTGAACCTCGTGGTGCTCTGTGCTAATAATAATTAATTACAACAAGAAAAAAGTTGTCTTTGTCGCTGATATCAAATATTCAATTCATTCAAATTATATAAAACGGCCAGGCTTTTCTTCTCTTCCTATCTTGTTCACATGATCACATATATGAATAATAATTTTTGTCAAAAATCTGGGGTTCTCCTACATTTTCACAATTCAAGTGTTTGATTCCATTGAAATTAGGTAAAGGGCTCAAGAAATTTCTCAGATCTTTCTTCTTTTTCTTCCATCATCATTTTATATTTTCTTTTTGAGCTATCCTAAAATTGATGCCACGAGCTTTTGATTCTGTCAATCATATCATGATTCGAAGCTTCTTCTTCTTTTTCTTCTTCTTATTTTTTTCGAGTTTGTGAGTTTTGATTAAGACCGGGCGCTATTTGTTTCCTAATCAAGGTGGCGATTTTACCTTTTCATACTGCAAAAATGGATGCATTTTTCAATATCCCTTTTTTTATTTTGCCCTTCTTCCTTCCTTTTTGTTATTAGGTCTTGCTCGTTTTTCCTTGAATTTCATTAGCACGGAATTTTTATAAATATTTCATTTTTATTTATATTTTTTCTGTTTTTAATTTCTATTTTCTGTTTTGGGATTTTGGTACTCCCTCATGGAATTCATTTTTGTAAGGAAGAAAAGAAAAAAAAAATGAATCTTCAGGGTCTAGAACATGTTTGAACTGGTAAATGTATTTATCAAATGACCTGTAATTAGGGAAGTTAAGGTGTTGTTTGGAGGTTTATACAGTCTTTCTCTCTCAACTTTACTTGGAATGGTCTTATGAATTGAGTTTACTGATGGGAGGATAAATTTGCAGGTTTTAATTGTTATTAAGGATTGGATTTGTTGAATGATTCTGTAAACAAAACAATGAGCATCAATCCAGCTGCTTTAGGAAGACCAACTTCGGGTATGGTTTGAGTTTCAAGGAAAATTATCCAGCTTTTATGTATTTTGCACAAAGATAATATGAGCCACTTGTCTGTTTTTACTGTTCTTATTCATTTTATTGTGGGAAGAAGATTTAATTTTTAGGGAGAAAAAAAAGTTGAAGTAGAAAAGGTTAGTTCTAGATGATGCTATAATTTCGCTGAAAACTGTTTTATTGTTGTTAATCAATGAAAAACTACAGATGGTGATTCCATGTGGTTTTTAAGAGTTCTGTATGCATTATTTTGCTGTAACTAATAATAGCTTGAAATCGCTAGTTATATTATTCTGTAGCACATGAATATATCAGTCTCGTTCTGTTTTGTACCATTTATTATCATATTCTCTTATTCGTGCTGCCTCTCAAAACCTGTACAGGTAAAAGAAGATTGAAAGATCTTTTGGCTCAACGTGATAATCGTGTGTGTGCAGATTGTGGTGCTCCAGACCCAAAATGGGCGTAAGTTTCTCCTTATTTTCTCCTCTCTTTCTTGCTTTCCTTATTTAGGTAGATTATAAAATATTCTTATTGTCTTCCTAGATTATGAATCAATATCTTGGCTTTATTTTCTCCCTTTTGCAGATAAAAAAAATGCGAAGTAGCGCGTATTAGTTGTATTAGCTCCTTCACTAATTTGTCTATGTTTGACTAACATAACGTATGAACATGTGCATTGATCTTAAGCATTGTCGAAGCTTGAAAATATAGCTATTCGCTTGTTGCTTGATTAAATTTTTTTGCCTACTGCAGTTCGGCAAATATTGGAGTATTTATATGCTTAAAGTGCTGTGGTGTTCACAGAAGCCTCGGTACACATATTTCAAAGGTAATAAATCTCTTAATGCCCTAAATTTTTTTTCCCCGTTCGAAGCTCGTTTATTAGTTGTGTTTATTGTTTTGATTTTTTTTTTTTTTCTACACTGCAGGTTTTATCTGTGACGCTAGATGAATGGTCGGATGGCGAAGTTGATTCGATGATTGAAGTGGGGGGAAATGCTTCTGCAAATTCTATTTATGAGGCTTATATTCCTGAAGGGGTGTCTAAGCCTAGACCAGAAGCTAGCCATGAAGAACGTTCGAAATTTATCAGGTCCGGTAATAAATAGAGTTCCACAACTATTTGCAGTAGACATGCAATGTTTCCATTTTGATAAATTATATAGTTATTGCTGGTATTTTTCAGGGCTAAATATGAGCGCCAGGATTTTTTGAAACCTAGTCTGCGTATTCTATCCTCGTCATCGAAAAAGCATTCTTTGCAAGCAAGTTTGTCGAGGAAGATTATGGATAGCTTTCGGAGTTCAGGATCACATAAACCAGTATGTTGTCCCAATTTATATTTTCTTATTCATCTACAGACACTGAACTTCTTTTATTTTCCTTGAATAAATCCATTAAAAAAAATCTTGAAAGCTAATATCAAATTCTATAGGAGGTGGGCATGGTGGAGTTTATTGGCATGTTGAAGGTTAAAGTGATCAAAGGCTCGAATCTAGCTATTCGAGATATGCTATCAAGTGATCCATACGTTGTTTTGAGCCTCGGGCAGCAGGTTCCGTTCGTACCCTCTTTTATACTTTTTTTTTTTCCCAAGACAACGACAGAAAATGGCAAGTTCTTAACGTTTTTTAGTGGCCAAGTTCACGATTTTCCCAAGTTCAGAAGTAAAATGATAGGAAATGATACGATTCTCATTCGTCATCGTGTTTTTTTTCTTTTTTGTTATTGTTATTAATATCTGGTGCTGGTTTTCGTGTTCCATAGAAAGTTCAAACTTCTGTGGTGAGAAGCAATCTGAATCCTGTCTGGAATGAGGAACTTATGCTCTCTGTTCCAGAAAAATATGGCCCGATAAAACTGGTAATGTCTCGTTTTTTGGCTTTCGCGGGCTCTTAAATTTGTTTTTTGATTTATTTGTTTTCTCTTACTATAAACTACAACAAGTTTACGATTACGATACGTTCTCTACTGACGACATAATCATTTTTTGGCTTTCGCGGGATCTTAAATTTGTTTTGTTTCATTCGTTTTTTCTTACTTTAAAGGCAAAAACGCATTTTTAGTCCTGTTGGTTTAATGGCATAGCAATTTTAGTCCCAAGGTTCCAACTTTTCGCCTTTGGTCCTATGATTTAATATTTTGCTGCAATTTCAATCTTTTTAATGACTGAAATTGCAACAAAATTTTAAATTATAGGACTGAAATTAAAACAAAATTTTAAATTACAGGACTTAAGATTGCTAATCGAAAATTTGGGAATTTGGAATTTGTTGCAATTTAAGTCCTTTGAAAACTGAAATCGAAGCAAAATATTATATCACAAGACCAAACGGTGAAATATTGGAACTTTGGGGACCAAAATTACTATTGCGTTAAACCAGCAGGACTGAAAATGCAATTTTGCCCTAATTCTCTATTGATGACATAATCGTTTTTGGCTTTCACGAGCTGTTAGATTTATTTCGTTTCGTTTTTCTCTTACTATATAAACTACAGCAAGTTTACGATTACGACACGTTCTCTGCTGACGACATAATGGGAGAAGCCGAGATAGATATTCAGTCGATGATTACATCAGCAACGGCCTTTGGTGATGCCAGCATGTTTGGGAACATGCAGATCGGGAAATGGCTCAAGTCAACAGATAATGCCCTGATCGAGGACAGCACGGTCAACATAGTCGATGGGAAAGTCAAACAAGCCGTGTCCTTAAAACTCCAGAATGTCGAATCTGGAGAAATAGATCTCGAGCTAGAGTGGATTCCTCTTGGTCAATGATAATAGTGTGTGTGCATTATGTATAGCTTCTTGAAAATCAAATTGATTGTTCATGATAATTGTTCTGTTCAAATCTGGAAACTCTGTATTTTTGTCATATATTTTTCTTTTTCTTTTTTTGGCCTTTTTAATTGTTGTTTCCTGTATTTTATAGAT